GTATGTGAAAAAATTGGAATACGAATGACTTTTTTCCACAGAAATAATAATATCAACTAAGTTCCCATAAATCTAAATCAGAATAGTTTCTGCTAAGTTATTCAAGTTTTTCGTAAATCAATCTTTGAAACAAGTTAAAATTCAGCATCAAAAATCTCATTTTACGATTTCGTTGAAAAGATTTTTAAATATTTTTTTGCAGATTTTTTAAGTTTAATCTGTGTTGTCATCTCAGGCGATGTTTTTCAAGAAGTTCTTTAAGAAACTATTTTTATTCATAAAAAAACTCCATTTTTGGAGGTATTTTCAAATCGGTCCAGCTCGCTTAAATCTTAATATTTTTCCGAGATATTTTGGCGGACGTCTTCAATTATAATAACTTCTGCAATCCGGGCGGAAAAACCGCCGCTGATGCTGTCTAATGTACATACATACATTTAGAATTGAATCGAAATTATGTAAATAAGGCGAAGTTTGTTATAACAAAAATAATGAAAATAAGTCAATGTATCGAGTTNACATTTAGAATTGAATCGAAATTATGTAAATAAGGCGAAGTTTGTTATAAAAAAAAATAATGAAAATAAGTCAATGTATCGAGTTTTGAAGGAATCTTAAGTCAAACAAGTGACCACACGTTGATTGTTTTTTTTAATTGTCATAATGTTTTTCGGGCGGGAGACCATAAAATTTATGTTTGTTTCATTGAGTTTTGTTAAGTTTTACATATGCAGTAATTTACAAACGTTGCACACCAAGCTTTCAGAGCAATCTGAATAGTAGAGAATTGTTAAAGAATTCCTGAAGAAATTATTATTTCCCTTTCCGATTTTTTGCCGAATTTTCTAAGATAAAAGGTAAATTCATACAAGGTGGTGTTACCGGAGCAGCTGATTTAAAGGCGGTGATTGTTAAAATGATATGATTTTTGTAAAAATTTTGTGTTTTGATTGTCATCGTGCGTATAGTTTGTTAGTGTAGTTTTTGTTTGTGCTGCCGCTATAACTTTCTATGAATTCGCCTTGAAATATATTGTGCACCCTTGGATTCTTTTTCAAAATCTCGGAATAAAATCTGTGTGTCAGTATTTTTTCATAACTTTCTTTAAGAAATCGTACAGAAATTTCTTTACGAGTTCGTGCCAACCATTTCATATGTTTTTCCTTGAATATTCGTAAATAAATCGTTACGGACACCCGATACCCTTAAAGATTACGTAAAGACTGGGAGACTGTCTTTTCTTGATTTTGAACTAAAAACAGATTGCGATCATATTGTACTAGCTTCATAAAGGAGTATAAAACCGCAAAATCACGCTTACCGCTCTAAAATCATGCCCCAGGGAGCATTATTTCACTGCTCGCATAGAAGTCCTCACACTTCAGTCCTAAGCGAGTTATAAAGTGAAGGCAAAAACCGAAAAATCTCCTTTATTCCTAGCTTATGGAGATCTCCCTTCAAGTTCTAGTAGAAATATGGAAGTATTAAATGCAGTGAGTGGCGATTTTATTTATTTGTATTTTCCACACCAAATTTATCTTATTTTTTATAAAAAATGTATTAAGTCAATTCGATAGCAAAAACCATAAGAATCATTTTTTTATGTCATAGGGAACTCGGAAAATGCAAGAAATTTTCGTCGAAATTTTGAATTTTTCAATTCGATTTTTAAATCTTGGAGCACGCAGTTTTGTAGCCCACTAAATTTGAGTGCAAAAAACTGCAAGTTTAAACTCGCTCAAAAATTACCGTTGATTTTCGAGAATTTATTTCGTTGAGGCTGTTGCATACCTTCTTTCATATAACAAAAAAAAATATTGTGTTCATCAAGTGAAACTCGCAATCATTATTTGATCCGCAATTTAAAACTATGAAACGCGCTTAATTGCTTCTTAAGCACCGCAAACTGCATTGCTTTAAATTAAATTTCGTAAGAAATAAGAAGTCACGCCTTTGCTATCAGCAGCAAATAAGCTGCGGCGTTGCACCAAACTTCCGAAAAATAATTTATCGCCAAAGTGCATCAAATATTCCGGGGACAGCGCTGCGAGCAACGACGAAGAAGACAACGGCAACCAAGGCAGTGCCGCCTTCCGTCTTTCCTCGCGCAGCTTTACTGCGAAGAAGGCATATTTAAATGTGCGCATAATTCATGCAACACGCGCTACAACAACATGCAACAGCAGCTACGTAGAACAACACAACAGCTACTTGCGGCGGCACAATGTTTGCCTTAATTACTCCTAATTGACGCTTACAAAACTTGAGCGCGCGTCAAGGCGAGTCACAACAGCATCCGCGCGCTGGCATCAACCGAAGGACCTCACTCTATGCGCCACCTTTATTTCCGACACTTGTTTTGCATTCAGTAGTGGCAGGAGTTTGTTTTTGCATTTAATGACACATTTCACTTGCAAACTAAGTGTAATAATAATGACAATAGCAACAACACAAACAGCTGCCTTGAATAACAACTATGCATTTTGTTTTATTAGTGCCGCCGCCGCCGCCGTCGCCGCCGTCGCCGCACAAGCTCCAATTTCCAACTATTGCCACTTGTAGTTAGTCGCTTTTCCGTGTTGCTTTCGCTTTATTGCACTTATTATTGTTGTTGCCATTGATGCTACTAATGTTGCCATAATACCTAGCGAATAGCATGTCAGCCTCCGAATAGCATGCTGCTGCTGTGTTGCATGCAACGCGGCAATATGCAATAAGCTTCGGTGGCAAGTACAAGCATGCAGCCAGTTGTTGCTTAATTACTGCGCATCGCAACAACAAAAACAAGAACAAAAATAAATAAGCGCACCGTAGGGACTATCAACCTATTTGTAGGCAGTAGTGGGGTTTTAGGGAGACGACTGAGAGTCGCGCTGTGGAGACAATATGATGCTTTGCATAATACTCGTACTCTTGCATTAATAAATAAATCAAACGGCACTCATCGACTTGCAAGAAGCTTACACAAGTTTATCCTTGCCGCTGAAGACAAATAGTAATTACAACAGAAACGTTGGCGGTGTTATTGCCACAGCATTGGAAAGGATTGTGGGGCGTAGAAATAAGCAGTTGGCCCAAAGTGGAAAACAAGGACCTGCATACAAATTTTGGAATCAAATTTGATAGATCCTCTTACGCTTATTCGCATTTTAGAGCCGTCGGTATACCATACTTGGAGCCCTTTATCAATCCTAGTTAATATCGCTTCACCGCAGTCTCCTTCAGGAATTCTAACATTGTAGGGTTTGTAGAAAAATAACTCAGGATCATCCAGGAATGGCTTGAGAACCGCTAAATGATCCCGAAGATCTCCATTTTTCATGCTGCCACGTATTGAGTTGGGCAGCCGTGAGGTGCTCTACCAAGCCTATTTTGCAATCCGAATGCACAAAGGAGGAGTGCCAGTAATAACACCGAGGGTATCCGTTGGAGAGGTGCGCATAGCTCTTATAATGGCCACGCAGGCCAGCCGGTGCTGCTTGCTCAAGGTGACACCAGCGTGTACTTACCATGAATTCCCTGGCAGGCATAAAACGCCCTTGTAGCCTTGTTGATAACATTCGAGAGATGTGAGTTCCAATTGAGCCTTTCGGCCAGAGTTACCCTTAGATATTCGCCTCTTCTAAGAACTCGATATCTTTCCCTGCCAAGGGAACTTCTGTGGTGCTAATATTTAGTAGATCGACCTCGGAACTAGGTACCAAAGCTTTATTGTTATTTTATTAGGTCCTATTTCGCTACTATATTATCCNTAGATATTCGCCTCTTCTAAGAACTCGATATCTTTCCCTGCCAAGGGAACGTTTGTGGTGCTAATATTTAGTAGATCGACCTCGGAACTAGGTACCAAAGCTTTATTGTTATTTTATTAGGTCCTATTTCGTAGTTTACCTCAGTGATTCTCTCTCGGATTAGCTACTATATTATCTATTGTTTTAAGCTCTAACTCTATTTTATTTATGGTGAAATCCGAAGATTCCATAAGACTTTTCAAGGTACTTAAGGAAGTGGATTGGTCACTGACTTATCTGAGTATTTGTTGACCATGGTGCGAACTCATGTATAGAAGCTAGGTAGGGATTCACTCGATCGGAAAGTCGCCGTAGCCGATGGNAGTCGCCGTAGCCAATGGGTCAGAGCAACATCAAAGTTTTTTTCTAAAGCGGTCGTCTCTCGGCAGGTAATGGCATACTCCGAGTGTACTTTTGCCATTGCGTAAAACTGCAGATCATTCCAGTTGTGCAATAACATCGAGAACACCACAAATTAGATGAGAAGATCGACCACCAACCACTTATGTACATAGAAAAATGTGAAATCTCCAAATATTCATTCATTTTTAAAAGCTCAGTCACATGCACGGCATATTGTTGCAAAGTGAAAGCTTTCTTAATTTGGAAATCCTTATTGGGTTTCTCGCCAGAAATGTTCGGCAAACTTTTCTCTAATTTACAAACTAGTTTATTTGCAAAATATTCGCTCTGTGCAATAACGCATCTTTCAAGTTATGCCTTACTTTCTAGGCATCAAATGAAACTTTTGGAAATTTTTGTTACTTCCTCCATACATATTTATGTCCCTAGATGTGTGTCACTATGTTGCAGGCAAGATAATAAAGTTGTGATTTTACTATTTACCATTACCTATAATTAAAATTTGATAGAAATGGTAAAGCAGGAAACTATCAACAAGAAAAAAATGTTTGAACTCAACACGAAACAAAAGCATAAGTATTCGGAAGCCATTTGACACACAAATATTTCATTATTAATACGAGAGTATGCATATTCTAAAATAAGTTACACAAATCTAAAATATCGAGATCTACTAATTACTTTATTAGTTTCTTCGACATACATATGAATGCGGCATATTAGGAAATTTTCAGCAGACCATTCGTCTTTGCAAATTCAATCCAGTTTTGGATTTCCTAATATGCCCAATACCTGACTTAAATTTAAAATTTGTTAGTAAGGAAAAAAGAGTCGATCTTTACTCACTCGGTGAATCCAATAGAAGATCATGTGCGCCACTCGAACCCTCTGTGCCGTTGGGTGAAAGCTGTGACGATGGCTCTCCGTGGCCACTGCCGCCGGTCCTTTCGCGCTCACGCTCTCGTTCTCTATCGCGTTCTCTTTCCCGTTCCCGTTCCCGATCGCGGTCACGTTCGCGTTCCCGTTCACGCTGAAGTACTGCACTGGTCGTCGGGCTGAGCTTCATCGGATGCATGCCATGGTGTGGATGATGCACCAAATGTGAGGCGGCGGATGAGGTGTTTATGCCTAGCGCCGATAAACTGGGCCCCGGCGATGTGGGCGAGGCAGATGAAGCACGTATCGCTGTTGCCGATGGTGGACCCAATGATTTTGTTATGGTCAATTCACCATTCGCAGAGGCGGAGAGTCTGCAAAGAGCCGAAGTGAAGTGATTATTAATTATTGAGTCAAAGCATTTTTATATCGTTCATGAAACAAATGAGAAGACGCTTTACAAGTATTTCAAATTAATTCAAGATATTTAATAGTATTTGTATCAATTAGCAAATGTTCTTCTTTTGTTGCTGAGCATCAATTTCGCAAGAGAAACAAAAAATTTGTTCATTCATCCCGATCATTAAAAGTTTTTGTGCCTCTGGGCGCATGTTGCATTGGCTCCTCACCGAAGTCTAATTAGCGCATCGTAACTTATCTTGCACACTCACTGACTTACTCACCAGAGTCCCTCAACTATGGTGCTGCGCTTTTTTTTTGCTGTTGTAGTTATTGTAAAGTGTCATATCATGCAACGAAATATTTTCTGTGCTTACCTATTCATGCTATTGAGCATGTTAGTCGCTGCAGACGTCGCAGATGAGGGTGGGCCACTGACACCCATGCTCATCGATGCACCGCCAGCGCCCCCGCCGCCTACACCCATGCCCAGCGGAGATGTTCTCAGTCCGCCGCCACCATTTCCCAGGAAATCGTGTTCGTGTGGTGAGCTCATATTGTGTGCATGCTGGCCGTGTGGCTGCTGTTGTTGTTGTTGTTGTTGTTGCTGATGTTGATGATGATGCAAGTGCGTTATGGCTGCCACCGCCGCCGTAGAGCTGGGAGAGGGCGAGTGGTTGCGAAACAATTGACCAGCACTGTTGCGCAAAGGAGATGAATAGCCTCTTTCGTTGGATGCTGTTGACGTTGAAGACGACAATACGCCGATGGCCGATGATGCGGAAGCCGAACTTGTTGTGACGCCTGCCGTCAGCGAGTGTGGATGATGGTGCAAGTTGTGGTGGGCCTGATGATGGCCTGGATGATGCAGGTGTGAGTGATGCCCGTGTTGGTGATGTTGATTGCCACTTGCGGATACCGATGCGGATGCTGTTGACGCCGCTGCATTGACTGAGGAGGATGTGTTGGAGGTGGAAGTGCTCAGAGCATTCGAAGTGCAGGAGGAATTGCGACCAAGGGCTGTCAATTGTGTTGAGCTAGCACCGGAGCCAAGTGTCGGTGAAGAAGAACGTCTCAAATGCTCGCGGTCACGTTCCCTTTCGCGTTTCAAAGAATGGTGACTGAGATTGATGCCACCGCACACGCCACTACCGGGTCCATTATTTAGCGAGCCGCCGCTACGAGTTGGACTGCGTTTGATGTGTGTCTCAGTGCGTTCGGAGCGGTCACGCTCGCGTTCTCTCTCTCTATCGCGGTCACGGTCACGCTCCCTTTCTCGATCTCTTTCCCGCTCTCTGTCCCTGTCGCGGTCCCTATCACGATCGCGCAGCGCCATTGTGCACAGGGAAGTGGACGAGTTAGGCCGCGGCGATGGCGTTGAGTTGGCTTGGTGACCTGAACCCATCCCGCTACCGCGATGGTGGAAATGATGGTGGTGCGAACTAAGTCCAGGCGGCGGCGAAGCGTTCACATCCGTTGGCATATGCATTGAAGCGGATGCGGAAGATGAGCCCGCTGACTTGCCATGCTCGCGGTTCGGCGAGGCGAGCTCATCTGCGGGATGTCGTAGCGAGTGGTGGGAGTGTGGATGCAGTGAGTGATGGTGATGATGACGCGGTGACGTTTCTTGTTTGATGTGCAGCTGCTGTTGCAGATGGAAGGCGGCTGCTGCAGCTGCAGCCGCTGCTGCTGCGGCGGCTTTTGTACTTGACGATGAACTAGAGGCGCTTGAACGCTCTCCCCCACTACCAATGCCATGAAGGGGAGGAGATCTGGCTGGCGAATGACCGCCGCGTTCAGTGTTGCGCGCTGCTGCAGCTACGGCCGCGGCAGCCAAATGCAAATCATTTGACAAAGCATGCGTATGTGCAGCAAGGTGATGATGCGGCGGAGGCGGCAGGTGAGCAAGATGTGGCGGTTGCGACGCCGATTGCTGGTCAGCGCGCTGCTGCTGCGCTTGATGCATTGCTTGGGGGGAGGCGCGCAGGTGATGTTTAGCTGCAGCAGCCGCGAATAGTTCCGGGTGTAGCGCGGCCAACAGCTGCTGAACGCTACTCGAGAATAAGTTCGGTTTGAGTAAATTCGTTGGTGTTTGTGCTAGTTGGGGCAGGGTTGAGGCGTGCTGGAGAGCGGCTAGCGCTGGTGGTAGCGGAGGCGGTAAGAGCGCTTGTTGCTGCTGCTGTTGCTGGAATGACGCGAAGGCGCCGAAATTCTGCAAAAACTGCTCGTTGGTGTTAATCTGCGGGCTGACCGGAATTGTGAGTATGGTCTGAACGGCAATGCCTGGAAGCGCGGAGTAATAGTAAGAATTAATAAAATTTCAAATGTTTGATAAAACAAGATACACGTTTAAGCTAATTAAAGAAGAGGACTTCTGGAAGGATATGCTTTTTGCTAGAGGACATTAGTCAATTTTATCTCCTTTATTTCTCCTTGCTTCATATTTCGCAAGCGTTTCCCCAAAATTTTTTGTAATCCCTCTTTTTGAAAGAGCACCGCACCCTTCACTACACTTAAATGCTAAAAACAACTGGACTCTTTCTCTACTCACCTTGCGCCGTTGGTATGAGCAGCTGCGCTCCCTGCACGCCTTGCACCAACTGCCCCGAGGCAAGTATCAATTGCGGCATTTGACCACTCGCCGTTGGTGTTGAAAGCGTGGGTGGCGGTGAGGCGGTGGATGCCGCACCAGCTGCTGCTGCTGCCGCCGCAGCTGCTGCAGCCGAATTCAACACGTTTGCCAATGTATTCTGAGCCATTGTCTGTGCCTGCATCGAGCTCGAATTGGGAGATGTACTGCTGGGATTATCCTGACCACCGCCGCCGCCACCACAATTGCCGGCATGTGACATGACTTTGTTATTATTGTTAGAGGCCGCTGCGGCAGCGGCTGCTGCGGCGAGCACATTCGAAGCGGAAAGAGCACTGGGCGAGCACGGAGCGCTGTGTGGGCCGGTGGCAGTGGCGCTCACCGAGGGCAGACAGGCAGTGATGCCACTATTTCCACTCGCACCGGCACCAACAGTCAAATTGAGCGGCGAATTGAGTGCTGCTGCTGCAGCCGCTGAAGCGCTGATACCTGCCGCTAATCCCTGAAGACTTGCTAATGCTGCAGCCGTCGCCGGAGTGACATTCTGGCCCACACTAACCGGCGTGGCCGTGCCGTCGGGTGGTGTGTGCAGGTTGGGATGTTGCGAGTGGAGATGGTGGTGATGATGGTGAATGCCATTGCCGCCGCCATTGGCATGTTGCATGTGATGATGTTGTTGTTGTTGTTGTTGCTGCTGTTGTTGTTGTTGTTGTTGCTGCTGCTGCTGAAGCGTAGCTAAATTTTGTAATTTTTGTAAATTTATCATGTCTTGCACTGCGGAGTGTAGATACGGTTACGAGGAGTGCATAATTGTTGTTGTTATTGTTATTGGTGGATTTGTGAACAACATTTTGTTTTTGTTTTTGATAATGAAGTTGAATGCGATGGTGACGGCCAATGTGCAGTGTGATGGAAGCAGAGCGGTGTGTTAGGGGTAGGAAAGAGTAAAAATGAGACAAGTTGCAAGTTATTAGTAAAATTGTGTGGGTCTCGCTTTGATGAGTTAAATTATGTGTTCTGTGTCCTGTGTCCTGTGTCCTGTGTCTCGTCTGCAGGCCATTACAAAGGTCTATTATATTGCTAGTAGGTTGCCTGTTCGCTTGTTTTGTATGAGTAGATTTAATGTATTTTGTAAGTACATATGTGCAAGTGTGTGATGATTCTCTGTTTCGGCGATTAGTTGAACAGTTATGGGGATTCCCTAAACGCTTAAAGGATACTCGAGTTAATTGAAACAATTAAAGGGTTAAATTTGTTGAAGCGAGAGGGCCTTTGCATTTGAAAAAAAAATAAAAATAAAATAAAAATTGTCTTTCAATATGAAAAAGCTTAGAATGGCAGGTTTTTAGCTTTCTTAAGCTCGGTCTAATTTTTTGGGGAGAGTAAAAAAGGGGCTGAGAAGGGTGTCATTAGGTACAAGAAGCTAAGTATGGCTGCAAGTATTTTATATACAGAAAAAACAGCCATGATTAAACAATTTAAAAAAATTCAAATAAAAAATAAAAATTGCTTTAAAAATCTATCAATTTTCTAATCAAAAAGTTAACGCTAATTTACAATCGGTTTCGGTCCCTAAATTATTTTTGAAGAAATATACGTATTAAGAAATTTATATATTTCTTTCATCTGAATAGTATATATATAATTCCAGTTTTTACTCAAATTTTCCGTAAAAATTGCTAGTATTTAATTTTATTGATCGTGATGTTTATTATTAATTCTTTGTTGTTTTATTTAAAGTTGTAAACCATCTTAAGCTGATTCATCTTCTACGCAAATTAGTTTCAAATAGTCCACAAAAATGTTTTTATCAGGATCATAAACGATTTCCTATTAAAATTTTAAAATTTCATAAGAAAAATAGTAAATTACTAAAAGCTTCTTTTTTTGTAAATCGCTGTAAAATTTATAGCAATTTTTACCTAATTCATATTCAATTACAACTAAAATTAAACTCTTCTAAATTTCAAGGTCAGAACAAAGTGTTTTCCAAAACAAATAATATCAGGAATTTTTTTATTGTAAATCATTCGAACTCCTTATTTTATAAATTTAATTTTTTCAGTTCACAAGAATTTTTATTGATTAACAGAAATTTTACAGTATCTCTTTAATTTTAAAATTTTTGTCTTTCGACACTAATAAACTTGAAAAGAAAAAAAAGGGCAAATGAAAATCAGTGAATAAAACAAAATTAAGCTCAGTTTTACTATTTATTACATATTTTTGATGAAATAGCCAAAAATCATTAAATATATCTATATTTTTTGAGCGGGCACCAGCAACAGAAGTCGTAAAGTGCAGTGCCTATTTAATCGAAAAAATACAAATAAAAGAAAAACAAACGAAAATTTTAGCTAAACCCTAAATTAAATATAACGATTCCTTTTCACATTGCGTCTGAGCTCTTTTTTCTAAAATGCTGCAACTTCATTAATTGAGAGGACTCCCCCTGCCTTGTCTTGTTGTTATTGTAATGTTTAAGTATGAGTATTTCTTTTTTTTTTATAAAATTGGCTCTCGATATGTACTCACTAGTTCCGTTTAGATGCGCCTGCGCTGCCGCTGCTGCTACCGCCAATGCTGAAGCTGAAGCCTTCGCCTGCTGCTCGTGATCCTCAGCATCCGACAAGCGACTAAGTTGATCTCGGCCATCGCAATCTTCGCCCACATCGGTGTCGATTTGCATTGGCTGCGGCGAAGTGGCTGGCGACATTTCGTGGGACTCATGTGATTGACGCGAATGAGCATCATTGTGATTGACCAGTGAGGCAGCCTTGGCTAAACTCTGATAAAATTCCAATTCCTTGACATGATCCTTGTCGTAGGAGTTCTGATTGTGCAAGTCATGTAGGCTGCTATTACTAATCGGTGAATTAATTTTATGGCTGATGATCTCTTTGTCGTAGTCCTGAAGAGAGAGAGAGAGAGAACAGAAAAACGATTGATATATTTGTGATATTCCAGATTTCGTGTCGAAATAAATAAATATTTTAAATAGTACTGAATATTGTAGTACACTAAAATAATGACACATTGAAGTATTTTGTATACAAAGCAGCTATGTAATAGCAATTCAACTGACGGTCAACTGTTGCATTCGATAGAGAAAAAAAATTGCTCATACGCACTGTCGCTTCCCTACAATAAATGCCAATGCCAGTCATTGAAAGAAAAATAAAACATATTTTTGCCCTTGCACATGCCAATAGTCTATTAAATAATACCTAGCCTAGCATTCAACAGTAGCAGCGCCAAAATTAGCTGAGTGTATGTGCGTGTGTTTGTAGCAGCAATCAGCATTTAATAGCCAGCTTTCAGCAGTCAACATACGTCGCATCGTACAGCAAGCAACATGTCGGTATTAAGTGACTTTATTAAATTATATTTGTATTATGTAATTACACAATATGTTTGCTGTTTGCTGGCATTGCCAGTGTGACTCACAAATAATATATGCAAATAGGAATTATCGCAATGTGCTGTGTGTGGCAATGTAAATACATATGAGAGGCAGCGGAAGTGTTTCTGCTGCTGCTGCTGCTGCCAGTCTAATTACGAATTTTCATAATTCCCTTAATAAGTATGATATGTATAAATGTATGTAAGTGTGTGTGTGTGTGTGTTTGTTCAGGGAATATCAGTGACAATAATAGCTGCAGTTAAAGTAATCTACAGCTTGCCAGTTCATTTGCTGTTGCTCTGCTATTATGCTAATAAATTAAATGTATGCTTGGATGTGTTGGATTGTAATTTTATTCAATTTTATTGTTTAAGTCATTTCACACGTTTGCCTGCTTTAATTTTGTGCTAGTTTGTTTGTTTATTTCTTGTTTGGTATTTGCACTGTTGCACTGCGAGACTGACACTAATTCATGCAGAACATTTTACTTGTCATTGCTGCTTTTAATGCAGCTCATTTAAATACTAGAAGCGGATAAACATACATAGGTATTATAATCATGTGTTAAACATATTTAATATGCGCTATTAGATTTAATGTGTAGGAAGACGTTTAATAATGGGAGAGAGAGAGAGAGACAGACAGAAGTGTAGAAAATTAAAGGCATATGGAACACGAGAGGCATGTAGGGCAGTGTTGCCATTTTGGTTCTTTTGGAGCTAAATTTAGCTCTTTATTTTTCTATTTAGCTCCGAAAATTGGGTTTTAGCTCCTAAATCTTTTTTAGCTCTTTTCAAATTTATCTAGCACTTTTTTTAGCTCCATTAAGTTTTATTTGTATTTGGTACATATAAGCCAAGACTTAAGCGTTGATAAAATGGAAAATTTCGAGATGCAGTGTATCCACCATAAATCTTGGATCTAGGTTAAAGAATTCAAAAACTAATTAAAAGAAAATCATTTTCTGGTAGCGCCGATTTCGTTTTACCTTACTAATTTTACCTTTAAGGAGAGCTAGAAGTAAAACTTTCCAAAAAAATTTTGCGAAAAAATTATTCAAATCAAATATCTGAAATTACAGATTCTAACAGTTTGTAAAGTATTTTTATTTCACGGTTATAAGCAACGAATTGGCATTATATTTGCACCTTATTTTGGCTTTAAAAGACTTTTTCAGCACTTAAACTTATAGAATTTGTTGTTTTTATTAAAACTGCAGAAAATGTAAAAACAACCTTACCTCAATAAATGCTTAACCTTTACAAAAATATATAGCTTTTCATTTTAGCTACCATTAGTATTATTTAGCTTTTTTTTCGACCGTTTTAGCTCCAAACCAAATTTTTCTCTGGCAACACTGATGTAGGGATCAGAAATAGCATAGGAAACAATTATAATTCAAATACGGGAAAAAAGGGCTTTTTGGGCAAAAATTTTGTATTCTTAGACTGTATTTGATACTGGAGCTAGAAGGTTGAACAAAGAACTATACATACTTTGTTTACACCAAAGCATGGAATTTAAAATAAAAGTGCATCTGCTTCTCTTTTAAGGGCTCCAGTGGGTGATCTAAATACCACAAGCAAGTACTTATGAAGCGAGCATATCTGTGTCTAACAAAAATGTTTGAATATTATTTCCTTTTTGAGTTGGGAATAGGTACTAGAAAACATTGTTAAACAAAGAAGATATGTACATTAGGCTGTGTAATTTTTGAGCAACTTTTTTTTTCAAATAAAAAACAGGCTATTAACTTTCAAAAAAGTGAAAAAAAGAGCCCTTAAAAATTTGAGCACTTAATATTAGCATTAAGTGGTGCCTGTTCCTAACTTTCCATTTCACATATAAATAACATGCGACAAAAATGTTTCGTTTTTCTTATTTTTGTAGCTTGACATATAAGCATTGTAAAAATAACGTGAAAAATTATTTTGGTAGGAAATTGAATTGCACAAAAATATTTACTCTAACGAAAAAAATACGCATAACTATTAGTTGTTTACGCAATATTTTCATGATAAATTTCCTGTTCAGAAAATTATAGGTATGTAATAGTATGTATGTTTTATTATTCTTCAAGATTTAATTTTTTTTAGGGTTATAGTTTAACATTTTTACAAAACCAAAGAATGTTCTAAGTTTAGTTATAGTAAACAGAAGTATGGTATGCCTTTTTGTTATGTATTTTGTCCACTAACCAAAACACTTTCTTATTAATTACAGATGAATTCAATACATTCTTGCCTGCATTTGTTTTGTGCCGGCGATGGTCATAGCTGTATCCACTGGAGAATTTTAACTTCTCATCCCACCGACTGAAGGTACAATTAGAAGCTGTATTCAGACTAAGAAAAGCACTAATATTCTTTTCCTTCCCCAACTTAGCATTGCGGACATGACAGAGGGCAATGTCGGAGCAGAGAGGAGCACCCAACCTCATCCTCGCATCTTCGTACATGCCATACGATGTACACGAACCACCGTCAATATCCTTCAGGCAACTCACCACCTGAGCGGAGCAAAGGCATAAGTATGTTAGCTTGCTGTGACACCAATGCAGCCCACACGGCTTGGAACAGCTCGAACATCACCATTTGTAATAAGGGATAAGATCAATTACGTTTCTATTTGATTTTAATATTTTTTCCCCCCTCAGGCACGGCTTGTGAATACGATCGACCTAGCTTCATCTGAATTTGCCTTTGTTATTGACAGTCAAGCTGCCATCAATTTCAAATACAAAAAAAACTAAACTAAACTCACATTTTACGCCGCCGCTGAATAGAAAATATTGTTTATTCTTTTTAATTGCAAAATCGTACGGAGCGCTGAAAGGCAACTCTTTTAACTCGCTAATTCGGTGATATTTCTTTTTAAAGTTTATATTAAAGTCCAATTGGTATGTCGCCGCATGAAAGATGGTATTCACTCTAAACATTTATTTCTTATTTTCTAAGATTGGTTTAGTTTATTTGGAATATTACCAATTCGAGCTTTAAATACCTTAAATACTTTAATGAGTGGCATTCGCGCTTTTATGTTGGACTAATAATATATATAAACATCTTCTTCGATTCTCCACTGCACTGAGGTCCTTGTCAATGCTATCATAGTTAATAGCCATTTGCGATGCGACGATGGTGTTTAATGCAATTATGTTAATTTCCTATGCAAATAGCCTGTCGCGCATTTAATTGCAAGCGCTAGCAACATTTTTCACACAGGCACGGGCAGCAGCGAGTCCTTAACAGAGAGAACAGACTACCACCACCACACACACACCTAAACCAAATATCATTAGCCACGCGCAAGGCTACCTTTTTCAGTTTTTTTTTTTCAAACTTTATTTCTTACTTTGAATCTCTATCGCCTAGCTGCGGCAACTGTCGGGACGTCGCAGTAACGCTCTTTAAATGCAAAACTTGGTGTGAGTAAGGGTGAACCTTAAGGGTAATAGTGGCCAGTATTAATTGCCAATAATTACTATTGGTTTCGCCAAGAGCGTTTTGTTGCTTATTTTTCTTACTTTTTGTCGATTTCTTGTTCAAACATTTTTCAAATGTTGCGGGTCAGGTGCGACCTTTTTTGCTATGTTATCTTTGCTTCGCTTACCTCGATGCTGTTTATTTTTGCGATTTGTTTAACACCCTTAATGATTTTTTTATTTTATTTTTCGTATTTCGCCTTGCTTTTTGTTTTCGTCTTCTATTTTTACTCAGTTTGTTTTTATATTTAATTTGCAGCATTAGCATTAAGTATGGTATCAGTGGGCGAGTAAACGAGTGGACGAAAATGCTTACCTTCTAAGGTAAAAGCAGCGCCAATCAGTGGAAAGTGGTCAGTGCAAAGATCGCTTAGAGTACTTTTTGTGTCGCCTTAGCTGGATTAGGTAGTATTTAAAGGACGCCAGGCAATCGCATTCGTTTACCGCAATTAAAAGGCAGCCAAGCGGGTTTGTTAATTCCAGCAGCAGCGCTTTGCTAAATGGGCAAAATGTGGGCGGTTTTAATTGGGTATAAACATTGGGAAATTATTGATATATTTACTCTCACTCACGTATTTCGAATTGCACCTGAGCTGTCGAGTTATTATAAATAATTCGATTAATGTATGTGTAAATAGAATGAAGGGTTATTATTATGTATGTATATATTTTCTTTTTAGAGCTGCCGACGAAAATATTGTCACTGTAAAAAAAAGCGGTAGCCAGTACTTTACACTTCGTTCAAGCTCGCTCTGGGTTTGTGAATAACGGAATTTTTTCGCAGCTCACTATAGCGCTGAAAAGTAAATTTCTTCAAACAAATTTTAGGAATGCTAGATATTTAGAGCACTAAGGACGGCGCGTAGTCTGGGTGCTGTTTTCTGCATGCGTTCTTTTCGTGCTTAATTCCGGCAAAAAAAGGACGCTGAAGTATATAACATATCCATTATTTTCAGTTCCATTCAAGATCTTACGTTTTTCTTCCTGCTCCTTGCTTAGGTTAATCTAACTATTTTAGTATTCT